TTACATATAAACATGAACTAATACACGGCTTTGTTTTGTCCGAATTAGCCCGATCGGAAATGTCGGAAGGTGATTTTCAAGGCATATACATAGTTTTTTATTTATTTTAATTTGATACGTATAATTTTAAATATATATCATATGATACGTATCGTTGTTTTGGGGCCAAATTTTTTGAATTAGGGTTTACAACTACCAGGCATGGACACTGTTTAATATCACCATTTTTGATAGTCCGTGCCCGGCACTTGCAGAGCCCTAGTTTGAATCCAATCACTAGAAACTGAGAAACTTCTTTTTTTCTGCTACCTAAATTTAATAAAGAAGACGAGTACCATTAAACGAAAATGAATAAAACAAGGTACGTACATACGTACGTACATTCTTTAATAATACCAAATATAGATGCCATTTCGAAAGTTAGCCTCTTATCGTTATATAATAAAAAATTGATCAAATTTGTCGCTTTCGTCGATTTAATCACTTGAGTACCATTTGATAAAAATCCGCTTGCATCAATCTGTCTCAATTTGTATTACCTTAGCACACTACGTACAAGCGAAAAAAAATTTTGGTTACACTATAAATATTTCTGTAAATATTCTTATAGAATTTACATATTTTAAGAATCTAGACCAACCTTTTTTTTATTATTAATATCACATAAGGTACGTACTAAAGATGAGAAAAATAGATCAGATTATCATATAAGATGATAGATTTGGAAGCAGTGAAGACAAGTTCGTTATTTAGGAAACTCCAAAATTTTCAGAAAATAGATGAACCATTTGGGACGAAGTTCATAGCCATTTATATAATACCCTTTAAGCCTCATTCAAGGTTACTAAGGGCTTCTATGTAAACATAACCGGAAGATACATATATTGATATGATGATAAGCTGATAAGGTTGGATTATTTACAATTTAAGTTCATTTAATTGCGACGATCAAAGAAGAGCGAGCCGTCTATTTTATTTCTGTGTTTGAGTAATAATACATATATAAATAATGTATAATAATAGATATCAGTAAGATTATAATAGATATCAGTAAGAGATTATTATTTGTATCTTTTAGTCATATCGATATTCAAGTGTTATCGTTATTGCCATTACCTTTTGATACAGCACTAACAAAAAAAATCAATGATACATTTACCATAACGATTACTTGCTCAAACTAGCCTCATTCCTGTATCTCTGATTTTCGAGATAATCTACTCGCTATAGACCCTTGCGTGACAAAAAAAATCTTTTTGAGAACCAAAATAATGGGGTGTAAATGGGATTTTTAAGATAAAAACGTCTAACCATTTTGAGTGTGTATAAGAACATTTCTAACTGGTTAAACCTGTATAATGACTCATATGATCTAAAATCTCAATTGGCGTAAACTGGCTTAACAAAACATGCAATACTACCGCTACGTATATATAATAAAAATATATGCTTAGAATTATACTATTTATATTTTGTTTATGTCATCTGTAACTTATTTAGATCTAAATTCCTATTGGTTCTAAAAAAACGTTATGTAAATATTATGGCATAGGGTTCGAAAAACATGACAGACGTTTTGAGTAAATGACCTACTTTGCACATTATGAATATATAGTATAGGAAGTGACTTTTATGTTATGCATAATTTAAAAAAGGAAAGACGATATTCATTAATTTTTTAAACTAAATAAGCAAACAATGATTGGAAGGGCATACTTACTATAACATGATAAATATAAATACTTTTGTGTCAATCATTACTACTTTTTAAACATCTTTCTCTTCTCTTGTGCCAGTTAATGAACATTCATTTAGTGATACTATAAAATCCCATATTTAAATCTTTTTTTTCAATTTTGTCTTACTTTGAATCATCTTCCCCATTTTAAATATTTGAACGGTTAATAAAATGACTTTGACTTCTGAATTTTTTGGTAGACTTTCAAAGGATTTCGAACTACTTCTCACCGATTCTGATGATTATAATGTTATAATTAAAGTAGGAGAAAACTCTGATGAAAGAACTTTTCATGCACATTCGGTAATTTTAAGAGCTAGATCACCATATTTTAGAACAGCTTTGGCAAATAAATGGGCCAGGAAAGAAGGTGATTTTACAGTTTTTACTAAACCTAATGTTTCTCCAGTGGTGTTTGAACTTATTCTCAAGTAAGTATTAAATTAAAGCGGTAAAAAAATGTTAATTAATGTTTTTTTAATACTTCTTTTTTTTCTTCATTATATAGTTATATATATAGTGGTTCGATAGATTTAGGAAAACACGATAATACAGATATTCTAGATTTGTTAATCGCATCAGATGAATTATTACTTTCAGAACTTTTTTATCATGTACAAGATTATTTACTTTCAACAAAATCAGACTGGGTAAAAAGAAACGTTGTTAAAGTGCATCGTACAATTTATCCCTATGAAAAATGTGAAAAATTACAAACTTTCTGTTTGGAAACCATTTGTAAAAATCCTCTACTTGTTTTTGAGTCAAAAGACTTTCCATCATTTGAGGAAGCACTTTTATTACCCTTATTAAGTAGAGATGATTTACAAACTGACGAAATTGAAATTTGGGATCATTTGGTTCAATGGGGACTTACACAAATGCATACCTCTTCATCATTATCATCCGCTTCATCATTAACAATTGTATCGTCGTTAAACAATAGTGATACGACTACTAATGTCAATCACACCATTTCCGAAATAGCGAATTGGACTAATGAAGATTTCATGGAATTAGAACGTATATTACACAATTGCATTCCTTTAATTAGATTTTTTCAAATTTCTTCAAGTGAATTTTATGACAAAGTTTGGCCTTTTAATAAGATCTTACCTGAAAATTTTAAAGAAGATATTATTCGCTATCATTTCAAGAGGAATGCTGTTATAACTAGTTCCAATGGTTTGTCAGCCCAATCACTAATACCAAAATATGCATTACCGCCAAGAATAATTCCATTTGATTCAGCTTTAATCAAAGCTGAACATGTGGCTAAACTTTGTGATTGGATAGACCGTAAAGACGGTAAACCTTACACATTTGAAGAGATTCCTTACAAATTCAAACTTTTAATTCGTGGAAGTCGTGATGGTTTTGAAGCTGAAACTTTTCATGAAAAATGTGATAATAAAGGTGCTACCATAGTTGTAATGCAAATAGCTTATTCTGGTGAATTAGTAGGTGGATACAATCCTATTGAATGGACAACTGGCGATATTAGATTAACAACACAAAATAGTTTTCTATTTAGTTTTCCAAAGCAAGGTAATCTAAATGATGCCAAGTTGAGCAGAGTTAGTCGGCCAGGATACGCTATTAGAATCAAAGATAAAACTCATGGTCCTTGTTTTGGCGATAAAGATTTATGGATGAAGAATAATTTTAATGCTTATGATAGTTGTTCCAGTGATAAAGATGATTATACTGATAGAGTTACTACGTTAAGCAAATTCTGGGTACTTGAATATGAAGTTTTTCAAGTAATAAGGAAGTAATGTGTGGTGTACCTTTGAATTAGTTTCTACGAAGTTGAATAACGAAACATATATAACCTTTTCTCTTTGTTCGAATGTTTTTGTTTAATAATTACTTGTTTGATTTTTATTTTGCCCAAAGAACAATCCGAACAATCCAACAACTCAAATCTATTTTTGTAAGAAATTTTTGATTTGATATTTTATTTAAAAATTTTTTTTTGATACTATACGTACAAATCAGATTTTTATTGTATAGCATTATTAGCATAAACTTTATTAGTTATGCGAATGACAATGAATAAAAAAAAAATTGGTTGTTTTTTTTTTAGATTTTGTGTGGAAAATGATGTACAAAATTAAAATGAATTCATCCGCTAAAAACAATTTTACGAAGTAATGAAACACTATTTTATACACTTAGACTAATTTCATCTGAGCAATGAACAATGTTCAAACTCTATTCTTCTCGAATGTTAGCAATCTATGTTTAGAAACTTTGATGGATGAATATCGACGAAATAAAAGTAGAAGATGGTGTTTGAGGTATCTAGAAACTCTATTTTTTAGGTTTGTTTTTTATGAAACGTTGTTACACGCGAATCCGTTACCGGGAACTGGTTATAATAAATTTTTTTCTTTTTTTTATTAGAAAAGCATTATGAACTTATATCTAACGTAGAAATGCATCTGGTTAAACTACATCTGGGCATATCATATAGTGTTGGACTAGTTCTTAACTTTTGGAGAGCGCATACTTTTACACATAACTCTAATTATATTGATGCCATATCGACGGATTTATAAATAGGAAAACCCATAAGCTGTAACTCTGGTCAAATTTGCAGATCACGACCAGCTTTGAAGTCAAATAATTTCAAACCTGGCCAAATGATCTGCAATTGACCAGAGCTACGGCTCTTGGGTTTTTCTATTTATCAAATATCCACCGATAAATAAATATTCGATATAGTATATCCTAGATAGCAGTTTGACCAAAGACGTTAATTTTCAAACCTTTATATATAAATTCTCGAAATAACAGCATTTGCGCATTATTTCGATCACATGCGCATTATTTCGAATACGATAAGGGTCAATTAATAACCCAGTTTGTTACTATATTAAATTTGCTGATATATTACATGATTTGCGCGTTATTTCGAGACGCGCATAGGTATTATTCAAGCTATGTTATTTTTAGGGGGCTTGATTTTTGAAATGACGCTATTTCAAGAATTTATAGTACTTATACAAAAAAAAAATAGAGTTATGTCTTATTATTTTATGGTTTAAAAACTTGGATTAGATAAATTTAAGGAAAGGTACCGTAAAGTGCCATACCCCCTATAGTTGTACCCGGGGTATTCTGCGGATAAGAATTCTATTTATATCCGGATGCTATTCATATTATATATCGAATAATAGCATCTTTACGCTTTGAAGAATGTCTAGATGGTGTAAAACATTGAAGACTGGTAAAGTTGAACGAAATACCCGGATACATCGGTTGGCACTTTACGGTATTTCCACACCCGATTTTGATGTTTCCACACCCTTTGATCACGGGCATAATACATAAAGTATATTATAGTTACAGCAAAAATGAAGGGTCATATTATATTACTCAATTTTTAAGCCGGTTTTAAATCACTTATAATTTCATAATAGTAATTTATAATTTACAATGGTGTGGAAATACCAAACTCGGGTGCGGAAATACTTGTTCTCTAAATTTATTCTAAGCTTTATAGTTTGTAAAATTTATTGCGCTTTTGCAAAATTCTGTGACTAGGTTTGTAAAATTACAGAATTTTCGTAATTTTAGTAATTTTGAACGTAATTTGTAATTCATGATATGTAATTCTGAGGAATTTTTGGTAATTGGGGAGTTACAAATGATGCAATAATGCTGGCCGAACTTTGTAAAGCCGACACTTATAAAACGTGATTGCTAAAATTATATATTGTAAGATAATAACTAACCCAACGCGTGGCCCTTATGATTATTGATTTTTTTATAAAATGATTGCGATTGTGATTGCTGGCAATTATAACATAATTCTGAGTTTGTGTTGGTACATAAGAATACCACGATGTGGGCAATAACCAAGAATCGGATTTGGTAAACTTTGCTGACAACTATTTCATCGACACCAATTTCACCGATAATCCACTTCATTGACAGCCCATTTCACCGACAGCCCACTTCAACGACAGCCCACTTCTTCGACACCACTGCTCCGAAATCCCATTTCCCGACATCCCATTTCTCCGATAGCTATTTCACTAACAGATACTTCGCCAACTTACAGCTATTTATAGATCGTTTTATATTTCACAAATTAGCTGGGAAGATAAATATGGTTACCAATAAAAAGGGGTTTTTGTAGATTTCGCCGACAAACTACTTCTAGCTAACACCAACTATAAAGCAAGCCAACTCTAACCCTAAATCGGGCCAAATTTGTCAATGAAATAGCTGTCGGCAAAATGGGGTGTCGGGAAAATAATTGTCGGTGAAATGGAATGTAAGAGACATGGATTCGGAGAAGAGGCTGTCAAGAAATCGGGTTGTCGGTGAAGTAAAATAGGCTGTTGGCGAAATGGCTGTCGGCAAAATTAGTATCGGCGAAATAGGTGTCTCGGCAAATTGTTTTCAGGCAAAAAGTGTTATTAGGCAAATTGCTGTTGGGCAAATAATATAAAACCTTACTAAATACCAAAAATGATATTTTTATTAACTTTTTATTTTTTAAATATAATATTTTGGGTTTTTCTAGGCATCTCTGGTCAGAGATATATAACTTATATATCTCTGGTTTATTAGCCAATTAAATTAATTTCTGGGCATCGATTAATCGGATAATTCGTGTAACCCGAAGTCACCGCCGATAGCAGTACCGGATCACATAATGCAACATAATTGGCTAGCATAAATCTGGGTTTAATAAAAAAAAAAACACCCACCAAAGTACCCATGGATATCTCGTTTAGATGAAACCTCAAGGTTTCGCACTGCGAAACGCGAACCTAGTTTCATCTTTCGTCAAATAAAATCTTAAAAGACAAAATGACAAAACTGAAAAAGGTGACGAAACTGACGAAACTGATGAAACTATAAAGGGTGACAAAACTAATAAAAAACAAATATACAAGTATTCTATATCGTATTATACTAATACACTATATATCAGTTTTAGTGAGAAGCTGCTTGTTATTTACTTTGCAATCTTGCAAATTTATTTTGTGCCAGTATGTTTTTAATTCATAATTTGTGTTATTTCATGAGTACTATGGAGGTTTTGAAAAGATTATTTCAACCAGTTTATAACAACTTTCGCGTTCATAAAAAAATAAACTGGTTTTTTTTGCTGCTATATATGTAATATCAGCCTGAATATTAATTCAATAAAAATTATTATTGTTTTTTTTTTGTTTTTTTTTTTTAGCAGGAGCACTAGGATTTCATCTTTTTGAGCATAAGGTTTTATCATTTCAAGTTTAAGGTTTTGTCTTTTGTTAGAAGAATTTGAGGTTTCAACTTTTATCAGAGGTTTTGTCTTTTGTCAAAATGTGAAAAAGGTTTGGCTAACAGTTATACATACTGAAAATTTTTCTTTAATTTTAGTATAATCTGGAAAAATAATTATCATAGGATATTGAAGCCTGGAGAAAGTTAAAAGTTCTCAAAAGAAGTAAAAACTTCCAGAGTAAGTTAATTATTACCAGCTATAATTGAACTATTAACCTTGTTAGGCATCTAGACTACTAGGTTACAAGACTCTAACTCTAAAATAAAATATTTAAAATATTAATTATTGTTGAATTTAAATATATAATTTTTTTTTTTTTTTGAATAGTGACTAGCTATAATATTTGTTTTATTAAAGATTGTTTGTTTTTCTACAATAAGAGTACATTAAGCTACATGTGCATTTTTGGTGCCTAATTTAAGTGGTCTACATCTAAGCTATTTTCTTAGAGTTTACACTATCTGCTATATCTGCAACCCAATCTACAAAGTTACATCAGCAAAAAAATATATATATAAACCTTTATAGGTTTTTATGTGAGCATAAATTTACAAAAACTTACTATTAGTTTGAAGTATTACATAGATATAATAATTACGAAAGTTTATGCTATAGTAACTTTAGAGAATTACGTAGATATAATAATTATAAATATTTATGGCATAGTAAGTGAAATATAATTAGTTAAAAACTAGCAAAAATATGTGTAAACTATGAATATTTATGAATTACAAAAATCAAAATCATGCAAAATCATGCAAAAATTTTTAAAAAGTTGTATAAATCAATAAGATACTATATACAACAAACCATCAAAAAGCAAAAATATAAATTATAAATTGAAAAAATAAATAATATAAAATTTTCAAAATAAATTTATGAAAAATATAATAATTTTATTGTTTTTATAAATAAATAAAAAAGTTGTAATAGTTTAGTAATTTCTATATTTATTTAAAAAATTGTATACAAATATAATTATATATCTAATTTTTTGAAACAAATTAAAAATTCATATAATTAACAAGTCAAAGAATATTAAAGGGAAAAGAAAATATATAAAAAAGATCAAAGTTTAATATAAAAAGCCAAAAAAAACTACTTATTAATTGACAAAACCTAAAAAATAAATAAAAAATAAAAAAATGAACATATACATATAAACTAATAATTATAGAAGTATTTAAGAAAATTAAAAATATTTTGAAGAATTACAGAAAACTTAGAAAATAGGCAAAATACTGTAAGTAGTAAAAATAAAGATAAATCAAATTATTCGTACAAAAATAATTCATACTTTAATAAATAATGCTAAAATCAATCAAACTTTATTTTATTTTTTTTTTTTAATATTAAGGTGACCACTTAGGCCCTTGACACTTTATTAGTACAAGCGGTAGGCCAATGTTAATTTTAGCACCGGCTTTACATATTTTATCAGTATCACGAGAGTA